CATGTGTACAGATATAAATGTTTCAACTGAACATGTGTACAGATATAAATGTTTCAACTGAACATGTGTACAGATATAAATGTTGCAACTGAACATGTGTACAGATATAAACGTTGCAACTGAACATGTGTACAGATATAAATGTTTCAACTGAACATGTGTAAAGATAAACAACTGACAAATTTATACTAGTACTGCAAAACATAGGAATGTGAATTTACATTAATGTATTTACCTGTGAAAATGTAACCCTCTAGTGTTTTACAATAGCCAAATTTAACTATTGTGAATTACTTCTTGGCCAGGTAAACCAGTAGACTGGTGGTCTATGGGCATTATCCTCTATGAATTTTTGATTGGATGTGTTCCTTTCTTTGGTGAAACCCCTGAGAAATTATTTGCGCATGTGATCAATGGTAAGTAAACCTATTAGCCTAGTTTGTTTTTTTTCTTACCTGTGTTCTAAGAGTATATCATTTATCAGTTTTAATAGTCTTTTCGTAGTTGAGGGACAGAGAACAATTTGGATTTTCGTTTTGTTTTTCTGCCCAAGTTTGTAATTGTAAATGTAACTTAACCTAAACAAAAGTAAGTGACTGTAGTTACAGTTTCCACGGATGATAACGTATGACCACATGAGGATCTAAGGGGCATAGCCACTACTACAAAATTGGGAGAGGGTCCTTTTTCCAAAAAAAAAAATGTGGATCTTTTTTTTTACTCAAGGAATTTAAGTGCTTTACTGTAGAATAAATGAAACTTGTAAAACATAAGTATTTAAAATCTAGAAAAGCAATAACAAAAAGGAGCTTATCTCACAGTTATCAAATGTTAAGTCATAATCATCTTGGGTTGTTCGTTTCCTCACCCCCTCGAGTCTTTATATCTATTTTATTATTAACATCTGAAGAAATCTTCAGATGATAAACCTAAACTAATAAATGAAACATTTAAGGAATCAATAATCATGCATTAATTATTGATGCTCATTAACCTGGATTCCAGTATTGAAATAAATTTTCCAGACATGGAAAAATGGTATTATGTAGAATTATTCTATTAAGTTTTTTTAATATTAGTTTTTTTTTCATGTTTTAAAGCATGTCTTTTTTTTTTTTTGTATGTTATTAGAATATTGAGCATGTAATTATAAGGTAGTGAATTTTATTTTTATTTTGTTATGGTTTTGTTTACCGTTCATTTATTATTACTTAGTTTAGCTATGAATTTTGAGTTGCGTTAAAGTGTTAACACACCTTGTAGCTGATCACATTGATTATGAGTAAGTTTGTATGTATTACGTGACTGACTTCAGTTTCCCCTAGCAGTGACGTACAGATATGTTTAATGTTGTAAAAGATTATGTAAATTTCTGGTCACATGAGATGTAATCTAAGGACTTATTAAAACCTCTGCCTTTGATCTTCAACAAACTAGTTCACGAGTATTATTGGTGATTATTACTCAATGTTGTTAGTGATTTTGTAGTTGTGCAAATACAGAATATTGTTATATTGGAATTAGGTTTTTTTTTCTTTGATTCATTTTCCTGATTCCTTTATTTATTGAAATAATTATTAACCTTGATATTTATGTTGTATTGTTTATTAATGTTAGTATCAAGTTCTGGTCAGACACGTATTTATCTATTTACTATATTTTGGTAAATTATAAACTTTGTGGCCTGGCATGGCCAGGTGGTTAGGGCACTCGACTCACAATCTGCGGGTCGCGGGTTCAAATCCCCATCCCACCAAACATGCTCGCCCTTTCAGCCGTGGGGGCGTTATAATGTGACAGTCAATCCCACTATTCGTTGGTAAAAGAGTTGGCAGTGGGTGGTGATGACTTGCTGCCTTCCCTCTAGTCTTACACTGCTAAATTAGGGACGTCTAGCGCAGATAGCCCTCGTGTATGCTTTGTGCGAAATTCAAAAAACAAACAAAACATATAAACTTTGTATTTCAGTTGTTTGAAAGTTACAGTTTGGAATTGTGTGGTTGTCAAAGTAAAATAAATTAGTTTTTTTGTGTGTTTCAACACTGATCACAGCAGCTGTTTGTGTTTTAAACTGTTACAAACTTAACATTTACCTCACTTTTCATTAATTTTCTAGATGAAGTGGAGTGGCCAGATGATGAAGACTGGACTGTTCCCGAGGATGCTAAATATCTTATCACCCAACTTCTCTGTCAACATCCCATTGATCGTCTTGGAACTGGAGGAGCTCATGAAGTCAAAGAACATCCTTTCTTCATTGGCATGGATTGGGAGTCTCTACTTCGTCAGAAAGCCGAGTTTGTACCACAACTAGATCATGAAGAAGATACCAGCTATTTTGATAGTAAGTTTTAATATAATCACAGCTTTGTCTAGAATTTAAAGAATGGGGAATCTCTTAAACTTAGGGAAAAAATTTATATCTATAATGTTTTAGGTAAAATATGAAAACTTTAAAGTTAAACTTTCAATGTTTTTAAAGGTAACATTATTAATGGTTTACTGAATTTATGTGAATTAAATGCAAAGTGTTGACATTTTTACCCAGTAATTGATTATTCAGGAAAACATTTGAGTTAAAGTGGAAAATTTGGAGCTTTTCAAAATAACATTAATGCTGACATTTGACTGCTGGAAAAGTAATGTCCCTTTTTCTTTTTTTAATAAATTACAAGTTTTTCATTAGATTTGTTATAGGCAATTCATACTATTCAGGTTGCTATCAAAATATGTGGGTTTGATGACACTCGGTGGACATTTATAATAATGAGGTCTATGTAGCCAACTCAACCATAGTCTACTCTTCTGCACTTTTTACTTCATATATCTGGGTTTGATGAGTTGGCTATACAGACCTCATTATTAAAAACATCCACGAGTGTCATCAAACCCAGATATATCAAGTAAACAGTGCAGAAGAGTAGACTATGGTTGAGTTGGCTATACAGACCTCATTATTAAAAACATCCACCGAGTGTCATTAAACCCAGATATATGAAGTAAACCATAGTCTACTCTTCTGCACTTTTTACTTCTTATATCTGGGTTTGATGACACTCGGTGGATGTTTTTAATAATGAGGTCTGTATAGCCAACTCGGCAACCATAGTCTACTCATCTGTTTATAAATAATACAGAAAACTGGGTTTTGATATCTGAGGTGGGCAAATTGTGTAGCAAATCTAAAATATATCAAGTAGTTCTTGCAGGTTTATTTCCATTGAAAACACTCAGACCAGAGTATAAGAAAAGAGAACACAATGTTACTGTATAAGAATTATTGAAGTGGTTCAATTAACACGTAATGCAAGACATGTTAATGAATGTATGCTGTTGTCTAACAGACAGATTTAAGTTAATTGGTGTATTTTAGCACAAGCTATAAAACGTTTGATAAGGTTATTGTGACTCATCTATTGCAATAATAATTGATCTTTGCAAGATTGAAAGCAAATACACCTTTCATACTTTAGAGATACAAAGATAAAGAAACGTGAACCACAATTTCTTTTGTAACTCTAGCTCAATCTCAAAGTCACAACAAATTTCATCGTCTACTCAAAATTAAAGCTCTGATTATGTATTTCTTTATCACATTGTAGCACGAGCTGACAGATACAACCACGATATGGAAGAGTCGGAGGAGATGGATGATACTGATGATAGTTCACTCTTCAGCAGCTTCTCTTCCTGTTCTCCTCAGTACAGGAGAGTGTACTCATGCATGGAGAAGGAGTCGGATGAAGAGAGTTTATTAAGAGTAAGTTACTCTCGTGTTATCTATCATTGGTTGTGTGATAGTACTATCTCGTGATAGTAAAGCGTGCCTGTGTAATCAGTCATTAGTTGCTGTCCCCCGATGGGTCAATGATAAGTTAACAAACTCAAAACACTAAAATCTGGGGGTTCATTTCCCTACAGTGAACACAGTATATAGCCCAATTGGACTTTTCTTTAAAGAACATACAAACCGTTAGTTGGTTGTAGTAATATCTTAAAGAGAATGACTTATACATATATAGTTGTGTGAAAAATAAAGGGGATAAGAACCTATTATTTCTTCGTGAAAAAAGGGGCTGAGAATCCTTAAAAACTTACTCTTAACATTAATAATGGTT